CGATGTGATCTGATGATACGTATCTCGTATGTAAGCCTTCGTTTGCTTTGTTATAGAATATAGCAAATTATTTACGCGATAAATTAATGAAAGACAAGGTAAAAAAAGTTTTGTACGTATAGATTATAGATGGTGCTCATGGCGATATATATCACACTGCAACACATTAATATTACCATAACGCTTCTAAAATACATCCAAACATTAAACGATTACAATGAATACTTTATTTTTGTTGTTTTATTCACTGAAATCAATAAATACAATACTCTTCCATTCCTTTTTTATATTTTTAGTCTTCAAACGAAATTCAAAGGCGTCAGCTGAGAAGCTTATAGAAAGCGCAGACCAGACAATTTTGCACAAATATTTTTATATCAATGATGTGAAAGAAAAACATATTATATCGCATGAAAATTTAATACATTGAAAATCAATTAGCAATAATGTTGAATGCTGTTTTTTAGTTATTCCGGTTTACAAAGTTCGCAAGTTAACTCGCTACTGTACTTGTCGAAGTGTAAATCGGTCTTGAGGCGGAATAATTTTTACAGCGTCAATATTAGTCCACATGTTTGCTTATTTTATTTTCATGTAATTGTCTATAATAAGTGACACTTTTAATTTTGACGAAGTAAATGTTTACTTGTGTTAATATAGTATCCTACGGTGTTAGCAGTAGTTATTATTAAGGTATGAGGGGATTGTTATGCTGTCTTTTTGGAAAAAATCCTTAGAAACAATAAAAGGCCATACACCTGGTCTTATAAATTTTTTTGTTAATGGCTTTATATTGGAGCGCTTAAATGCGAGACGAGTTTCACAATTATTGCATTTAGTTCCTCATGTCAGAGTTAATAACTTTTTAGGTGACGAGCAATGTTAATTATGTGTTTCATGAAGAGACTTTCATGTACGTTAGACGTTTCCTGATTTATGACTATTACGTTGCAATTTTTTTTAATTAATAATTAAAAATACAGTTTTTTTTTGCTTAAACCGCTCAAATTAATGCATAAGTGCCTTTAATTGCTTACAAATTGCTCAATTGCACATACTATTCAAATCCGCAATTGCACATATATACTATTAATTGATTATTTAATTAGTTAGGTATTAATTATTAAAAATACAAAATATCTTTAGCAGTTGTGCATTATTAATAATATTCATTTAATACCTGATGCCTGCACTATATTTTTGTATCTGTCATAGCATTATCGTTAATCATTAATTTCAAGTCAAGATTGACTTGTGCCATGTGACATGAAATGGGACAGCGTAACGATTCCTGTGGGAGGTCCAAGAAACATGCGTATACTGGTATTTACGTCGGTATACTTTACAGAACTTACTAATAATTTTAGGTTCGTGTGCACACACACACACACACACACACACACACACGCACACGCACACGCACACGCACACGCACACGCACACGCACACGCACACGCGCACACACACAAACACGCACGCGCACGCGCACGCCACGCGCACGCACGCATATTAGTCAGGTGGTCAGCCCGATACGTCAGTACTTTACCATGACGCGTTGGACGTGACCTAGTTGTATTACAGTATTCACCACTTTACGTCGAACGTTGACGTGACTAATTGACGACTTGAAGGTGACTTAACTAATCTTTGTGCATGAACCTAATATAAATCAATTAAAGTTAAAGCATTTTGTCTAAATGTGTGTTATGAACATAAAATGTATAAAAACCTCGCCGATAAGATTTTTATAAATGATTGTACAATGTAAAATGTTCTTCCCAGGCCAGTTTAATTTAATTTGCTATATTCTACAACAAAGCAAACGAAGGCTTACATACGAGATACGTATCATCAGATCACATCGATGCTTTACTACAGAAGTCAAAGAAAAGTATCAGACTAATACGTCCGACTTCTAGGCACAGACCTTCTCGTGAAAGCTGCACTCCCTTGAGCATACTGACGGACTGTTACAAGGGCGGGCCAAGGTCGAGTTCACTTAATGGAGGGGTTAGAGAAGGAAGGAGGGATTTTTTGCAGTCACTACTTGATGACCCAATACAACTATAAATAATAAAGATATTGATTAATTTGCAACCATCCGCTCAATTAAATACAATGATGTGTCTTTCCTGGATTGAAGAGCACCACCCGACACACTACTATAAGTACTGAGTTTAATGTACAGTGTACCTCGTACATGTCCATAAAATGTTTTATTTTAATTTTTTGACCAGCGGTGACGAGAGCCACGCGAGCGCTTATCATCTGATCTAACACGGCTCTACTTCCGATGGTAATATGAACAAATATTATTTACTAAATTCTAAGTAATAAAGCTTTTTTCAACAGTGCGATCACTTGTGTTCTACAATAAGAGTTCCGCTATAATTACAGGTTGTGAGGGATTCACTCTCAGGAGTCTTGTAGCCCTCATTATTTACAGTTAGTTGCAAACATTGAGATATTATGTACTTATAGCATAGTAGTATAGTTGTAGCACGATTGGGTCAGCTCGACCCACAGAATACCAGCGTATTAATAGTAGCTTAATGCTGATGTGTTTCGTATGATGAGGGTAGAGAACCGGAGACCCTTTTTACTGGAGACGAGGCATTCCATCTTAGTCCTCACGGATGACAACACATTTGCATTTTAATTCATAATCGAGGATAGATGTAGATGTATATGAGCCACAGCAACCACTTACCATCAGGTGGACTGTGTGCTCGTTTGTTACCCCATACTATTAAAAAAAAAACTATTATACTTGAATAATTAGGTACATATGTCGATTTGAAACAGTAGCCACATATCATCATATGTACTGAAACGTAAGCCTCTCCCAAAGAATTCCACAAAACATGGTCCTAAGCCACCTGCATCCATCGACTTCCTGCATTTCTTACCAGGTCGAACCAGAGAAAAGAGAACAAGAACCAGAATCAGAGTAATTGACATAGCCCAACGGATTAGTAAGCTGAAGTGATAGTAGGCCGTTTACATACCTCGAAAAACCGACAACCGATCGGGAAAAAAGGTTCTCATGTGGCAGCCTCGTACCGTTAGGTATGGAGTTTCACTCTAATATTATAACTAAACATAAGATTCATTATATCAAAATGATTTATGTATACATAGAAAATTCACAATAAATATTATAGGGCTTTTATTTTTCCCTAATTGTAGGACATTTCAGGTAACACACTTATTCTGATGAACTAAATCTACGAATAATACCATGTAAATTACTTGAATGTATATAAAGTGAGCATCAAACAAATGCATTCCGCTAGTAAATATGAACACTCAAGGCTTGCTCACATTTGTTGAAGTAAGTAATGACTCGCTCATCGGCATAATTATGAAACGGAATAATGTCATCGACATCGACCAGGCATTCCATCTTAGTCCTCACGGATGACAACACATTTGCATTTTAATTCATAATCGAGGATAGATGTAGATGTATATGAGCCACAGCAACCACTTACCATCAGGTGGACTGTGTGCTCGTTTGTCACCCTATCCTATAAAAAAAACATATTGATGACAGTCATTTTGGAAACTCAGTATTCATTAAATTTTATTTATTTATTAGAGACATAAAATATTTTTAAGTCAGATTTTACGTGGTAGAGCCATGCTGCAGCTATAGTACTGATATAGTTCTAGCACGAATGGGTCGGCTCGACCGGGGAAGGACCACGCTCTCACATAATAATAGCGTAAAATAGCAGCTTAACGCTACTGTGCTTCATATGGTAAGTGTAGAGAACCTAAGACCCTTTTTACTGGAAACGAAGCATTCCATCTTAGTCCTAATGGGTGACAACGCATCTGCATTTTGATTCGTAATCGAGGATAAGTCTAGATCTAACTAAAACGTCTTAAATATTAGGTACCTATACTTTCGTTCTAAATTCAAATAAAATTAAGTCATGGTTATTTCTACTCGCTTTCGTTCGGAAAATTTTGACCTCATAAATAAACCACATGATAACCAGAAGAAGAAGGTTGATAACGATGTCCTGATGAAAGCGATAGTGGCAGCGGCTCCGTCTCAAACTACGGCTGAGGTACCGTAAGCTTTTTAAGTGTCAAAACAATAATATAAATAAGATCATTTGCAGCGACAAGAGCTTTAAACTTAAATACATGGCTGCAATGAGTGAATTTATGATATTTACACCTCAAAAACACCAACAGCCATAACAATTTTGGCACTAATGTATCGAAAATACGGTATGTGGAACTCCTTAATGGAACGTTTTAAGTATTTGGGCCACTTACTAGATCACGGGTGATCAAAAAGAGTATTTAAATAAGTATATCTAGCTATCCCATACGATAATCGCAGTCGTTTATCACAATGATGCCCAAGTCAATCCGAAAAATTGGCTAGAAGGAGCTTATGTCCATTGTTATAAACATTACCAATATTGAAGAGAAAAAAATAACTCAAAGAAAATAATGACAAACTGAATTTAAAAAAGCTAATAAATAGATAATACAGTTTGAAGTGGCCAGTTTAACGAAACTTTATTTCCATAGGTAAAGAGTTTAGATCTAATTACATATTTTTGCATAGGTACTCGTAATATATTATAAAATTATAAAAAGCATAATTATATACAACAAATTAATTATATATATAGAATTTCACAGAAATTCATTATTGCTAACCGTACTAAATACTCATATCCATAGAAACACACACACAAATCACATCATATCGATAAGTTCTCACTTACTCACAAATAGTGCTACTTGGGTTATTCCAAATTTATTAGTAAAATTAGTCGAGATACTTCCATCACATACTAACGTGCGTTTCAATATTAAGATGTTATCAAATTTATATATTAAGATATAGATCTCCCTTTTTCTTTTGGGAAAGTAATATCATAATAATTTTAGACATAACATTATTTCGTTTGTACATCGTAAGCCTATGCATTTGCTTAGACTACACACATAATTCTGTTAAATCATTTGCATCAGAGCCTCCTCATTAGCCACCAGCGACTGCAAGGGCTGTGAAGTTGGAAGCGGCGGTATCGCATGCAATGCCACTGTGGAATTTGTTTCATACGTCGCAATGCTTCAAGCTGAAAAGAAAACAATGGTGGGGTCACATTGTTATTTTATATCAATTTTCAAGGTCATTATCTGTTTTAAAATTTTGTAATAAGGTTGTAAACTATTCAAGAATCCGCAGGACTGTCCCGTATTCTAAAAATGGTTAACAGAAGATAATATAATAGGCCTGCAAAAAGTGTCTCACTATTTTTTTCTACAAATGCCCCGTGTGCACAAGCTGTGTGTTTTCCATTTCGTCATTGGATATCGGAAGAAAATCGTCAACTTTTTTAATTTACCCGTATACAGTTTAATCAAGGCAGTTTTGAATGCATTTAAGCAAAAACTTTTTCCCGGACGTTAAGCTCACACGCGGTGAACCCTATTGATTGAAGAATGAATTTCTAACAACCAACTGATAGCGGGAAATCTATCCAATAAGTAATGCTGAACACAAATTTTACAGTGGTAACGGGAAAGCACAAACAGTAAGAGGGTATGGGCTCTGCACTCAGTAACCCGCTTGCTTAGCGTAGTGAATATGGGTAATTTTTTCAAGTTTGTTTATCAAGTTTTTTTTTTAAATTTGCCAGTATGTCCAGCAGTGGTCCTAGAAAGGTGTTTGACAAAGAAAGAGCGGATGACGTATTATTTAAGCTATTATACTAACCACTGCTACTCATGTTAGATAAACTCATGATTCTTTTACTACTGTTCATTCTTTATCGCAGCTCAATAACATGGAATTCCCTGCATTTTGTTTCTAAACCATTTTAACGTAATTTGAAAAATATATGAAGTGTGAAACCAATGTTAACGAATTAAATAAATATTAAATAATAATTTAAGTTAAGAAAGTGGGCCCTCACGAAATATAATAACTCCTTTCAATAATAAACGAATTTTGTTAAGAAAACATAACATCCGAAATAAAAAATCTGGAAGCGCACTTTCAGCGTAGCCCAGTTCAATATGTAAAATGTAGATATACTGCACAAGTGCATTAACTATTATATTATCATTACCTACCGTGCTCTTATTCGCTATCAATTAAAACCTGACAATGATTTACTGAAAGGAAATTATCAACTTGTCCAAGCTCTTCGTTATATTTATAGATACAAGTAAATAGGTAATTTTAGTTAGTTACAGCCTATATACATCCCATAACTTTCCACAGACCTCCTCTCATTACGGAGGGGGTTTTAGGACAAAGAAAATGATTTAGAACAAAGAAAATATCCACTGCGCGTGCGTAATGTAATGCTTCTTAATAAATAATTTCTTACACATGTAGGTCTGTTCACGATGTTTCCCTTCATCGCCGGTTAAGTAGTAACTAAGCATTCAAAATCGGATTTAACAATTTCACTGGTGCCGGCAGGGATTGAACCCGGATTGTTCGGTTAATATGTAGTTTAAGACAAGCGCTTAGCCCCTGAGCTACCATAGCTTTTAATAAATAAAACTATAAGAATAGGTAATGTACAGTGGCATAAATTAAACTGTAATTTTTTCGTTTAGTAAACATTACATGAAAATCTGAAAAAATCCTTATTTTTATCTATATTGGATAAATCTATAGGAGAATCTGCAAAAATATTAAATATGCCGTATTATGATAATGAACATGATAAATGTATGGTAATAAATAACACGTTTATTGTCGTTTTATGAACAATTTTATGCGTAAAGTTATTTAGATGGAGCCGTCCTGTATAATCTAAATGTACCTAAAATACTTATAAATTAATAATAAATAATTTATTATCACAGAAAATGAAGCTCAATGTACTCACATAATCTATGTTTTCGCTTTTTAACGGATAAGCTTCTGACAAAGTAATCAAACACAAAATAACTAGAAACAAAAAACACAAAATATACATCTTCATTTTTCCACATTTAATTGAGCTCTATGTCAATTTATTTCACTGGTAGTTTAATCCCGGGGATTTTTATTTATGTACTCTATTTACGCGTAATCTGTTCTAAGTGAAACCACCAAGTGTTCGATGCTCACGCGTTCCCGCCATTTATAAAGGAACCACCCACACGCTTTCTTCCCGACGAATAATATGGAACCTCAGAAATTAGTACTTACACAAATGCGAAGGTTTTGATCATTTTAATTGTTTTCGAATAAATAATAGTTAATAGTAATGATACATACACACATATAATTTTCAAAACGCTAAGATTTTACACACAACCACTTCTGTAAAACCTTAATAGTTAATATTTTTTTAAATGTACAATTGAAAAAAATTGCAGCGCTTGTGCAGTGCCCTTATTCAATTTTAGCGCACAAAAGTTGAAATCTTAGTTAAAGAAGGTAATGAATGAAATTCTTTTGTGTGGTTATTTTTTATAAACTCTATCAGGTCACATTTATACACGGTTATTTTTCAAGAAATATTAGTATTGCAGTACGTTATTGCAGTTTGTGAAAATACGAGCAACATACGGCAACAACGTTGTTACCTACCGATCGGCCCTTACAATTGTGTGCGTGCGCAGTAAAATCATATGCATTACCACGCATTTTGAATTTAAAAAATAAAAAGGACGGAATGTTTGAGATTTTTTAAATTAATTTTTCTTCACATTTTGCTTATATTACTCATTATTGACCTTCTCTATGTGAAATAACCCTCTATTTATGTATGCGATTAATCATTGATAGTGTCTCAGGGTTCAGAACCCCTTTTAACGACTTCCTCTCTACCATTTAACTGCGTTCTAATTATCATGATAAGATGTAGTCAACTGAAACGGTTTAATGTTCATTGTTATTAACATAACCTAATCATAAAACATTAATCATTTTATAGTTATAATTTTATTTTTAAAATGAAAAACTTCGGGCTAATTTCGACGATATTCTCGTCAACTGAACCGTAGCTGTATTTTAGCGTATTATAACGTCATAAGTATTGAATGGAGTGACGACCTAGTAAGAGATGCAGGAAGTCGATGGATGGACCGAGCTCTGTGGCATTCTTTTGTGAAAGCCTTGTGAAGGGCTGCAATGATGATGATAATGAAGCATTGAAATCAATTATGGCGAGCCCCGACAGACTGCTAGGGTGCAACGGCACTTCTCTTACCATCCCGCCTGGCCAGTGAGGTATGACTCGTCTATGGTACGTGAAATACATAGGCCGGTGGCGGGCAGTAGGGTCAAAGGTTTAAGACGTCTGGTACTGAAACTGCGTTGGTCAATCCGCCTGTGAAGCGTCTCAAATTTACTCTACAAAGGTAGAGTTTCATAAGAAATAGTCGACTTTTATGAGCTGGTGACTAAAAAATAAGAAAGACTTTTTTTTTCAATAAATGTATGCCATTTGGTTATGTTTGACAAAAATTTTATGCTGCAACGTACTTGAATATATATATATATATATATTAATGCTGCTGTGTTTCATATGGTGAGTAAATACAGAGAGCCGGAGAGCCTTTTTACTGGAATCGAGGCATTCCATCTTAGTCCTCGGGGGTAACAACGTATGTGCTTTGCGATTGATAAAACAGTACTTTTTGTAGTCACTAAACTTTTACATACAAAAGAAAACAGTTAAGATATTGCCATTGATGATCCATTATCTACCCGTTTTTCATTCATACTTTTATAAAAATATTATAAATGTGTTGCAATATTACTGACCAGAACGTAATAACTGATATTACTTATTCTTATATGGTTAAAGACTGCTGACGTCTCTTATTTATTGCTGTTTAAACTTACCATATATATTTACCATATACGACTTGAAAGCAAATATACCAGGTGACTTTTTTACTATGGGAAAAAATAGGGTGTAGTAGGTGAACGTAGTAAAAGCTGTCTGTCCCAATGTTCGTTAATCAATACTGTACTAAAACGTGTTTTACGGTGGATATAGGAGATGACATATTAGTTTCTTGGAATAATGATTTCTTATATTTACGCAAACTATACATGATTTGTTAGTTGTGGAATAGTTTCGTTTTCCTCATATTATTTCTAAATTAGGTCCCAGGTAAGTTGGAATGTTTCACCGCCCATAATTGTACCTACAGGCTCTATATACCTTTCAGACTGGAACACAGTGGTGCAAGCACTGCTCTAATGCTTTTCTGTTTTATTTTATTTTTTCTTAAACAACTAAATTTGCCGCCGTTTGCAGTCATCCAACAAACAAATTTAACGAATATATATATAAAAAGTAACAATAAAAAGATACAAACAATACTTCTTATATTGTATTTGTAAAAATATCTGTCCAGAATTGAAGGAGCAAACGGGGAACAAGGGAGTATGATTTTGTAAACTTTTCATATGTATTATGAGTCCGAGCTGTAGTTGACTTTCTCGGTTGCCTAGCTCAGTTGTACGGGTACAGCGCGACAGCAATAGATCGTCAAAAACTTATTATTCAAATTTTTTCCGGCCTAGATATTCTCTTAATATTTTCCACATTTTATTCTTCATTGATGTTGCAATACGGTATTTTCTTATCGATTGACCTTACAATGTTAGAAGCTCAAAGTTGAAGAAATATAAAGAAACAAAATGCTATCATTTCCGCCAGACTTTATGTTTATAGAAACAACATGTTTACATTCCAAGCAACGATTTTATTCAAAGAAAAATTGTTCTAATTAAATTGTTCTACATGCTATTATATAATCTTCATAAACGGCTTAAAACGGCTAAACGGATTTGACTCTCAGATATAAGGCAATAGGCTGTAACATTAAAAAAAGACTTTTTGCCACGGGAAAGTTTAGGTTACCAAGGAAAAATGATCATACCCCCGGCCACACACTCGTTGAGTAGCATGGGATGTAGCGAGGAAAGGAGGCAAAGACGTAATGTGGCTACAATACTCGTCATGCCGTACGTCATGCTCCTCGTCATGCCTATCGCTGCCTGTTTTGTCAGTTTTTCGGGCACGAGTCAAAGTACTAGCAATATGAGCGCATGTGGCTGGCCACACACCCGCGCAAAGTGCAAACTGCAATCCTCCCGATTGTACTGGCTTATCTATGCTGCAGTCCGAATCAAGCGCTCGGTACGGAAGCACGTCAAGTATCATTTAAATATATATTTATAGAGTAGATAAAACTTACCAATTATGAATTTTTAATAACATGTATATATGTTTATTCATGTCATTACATTACTTAAAACTAATATTGCACAAAACATCTTATAAACTCTACTTCAAAACAAACAAATTATATAAGCAAAATGGCGGATTGTGTCAGCGCTACTGAAGTAGTAATCGTGTCCTGGCCGAAAACTATTTCAGCGCTTGTAAGCGCTTGCTAGCGCTTTTTTCTGCCAAACGCACCCATTATTCAGCTATAGCTAGAGCCGTGGCTCTGGCTTTACCACGTATTTATAATATAGATGCAGCGCGCTGCAGCTATATTGTGGTTCTAGCACGAATGGGCCGCCTTGTCTGATGTAACCAGCGTAGAACAGCTGCTGTGTTTCGTATGGTGAGTGTAGAGAACCCGAGACCTTTTTTACTTGTACTGAGGCATTCCATCTTAGTCCTCAGGATCAACAATGTATCTGCAATTTGATTCTTAATCTATTTTAAATGTACGTATCTATAGGCGACAGTATGCACTTACCATCAGGTGGACTGTGTGCTCGTTTATCAGTTTATCACCCTTATTCGATAAAAAATATTTATGTGTGTGTGAAATTTTAGTTTTTTGTTTTAGTTATGTGTGAATTTCGTTGTGACAGACGATAGTTTTTGTGTGCGCAGATCTCCCTCGCAAAAAATTACACACAGTTCTATGACATAATAAGGAGTAAGGTTACTCTTATGTTTCTGTATTGGAGGAAAACTACTACTACTACTACTCCCCTCCGTTCCGCCGATGACCCGTGTTGCTCTATGGTAAATTTTAATGAGTTTCCATTAAAATTTACGAAATTGAAGACGAAAACACAAATAATGGCTTTATAATTCGTTGTTCGGCTTTAAATATACATCAAATTGTGGTAAAAAGTAAAAAGGTATTTCAAATTATGGTAAAAGTGGTATTTTAAATTACTTGAAATCTGATATATCAAATTTCAAGTAAATTAAAATACCACTAATACAGTGGTATTTTATACTATCGTCCCAGGCCAGTCCTTCATTTAAGTATTTCCATAAACAGATATTTTATCTTTAAATAGATATTTTATCATTTAGCATTATATCAAAATATCCCCCTGTGGCAATTTAATATGTTTGAAGGTATCTACAAAAGATAACCCTCTCACGTTACGATCCAATTTGGCCATGTGTTGGCCGAGTAAAAGAACCATCAACCCATTTCATGTCATGGGGGTCGAAAGCTATTATGGGAAAGATTAGAAAGATATTATGATCTGTGATCAGAATACCTTCTGGTATATACCGTATATAAAATACTCAGATCGGCGTAAAGGCTGCGAAAAATTTGATTGCACCATTGCCGATTTGCCTACCAAGCGTGGCAATTAAGTTGCATCCATAGTATTTCGCGAAAATAAAAATACGCGAAGGACATGCAAGGAAAGCGCTAGCTTTCCCGACCCCAACGGTGGATCTGATCTTTGGCTCCATCGAGAGCAGCTCCTCACAATATCGACGTTCCTCTCCCCCCACGGTGCCACCATCACCGCGTCATTCATCAGACCAGAGTCGCGGTGGATACGATGGTAAGTGGTAGGTAGTGGCGGCACACGCAATACCAACACTCCTCTTCCCTATCCAACATGGCGATTTCGTCACATCCTTCCTACAATAGGAGAGACGGTTGATTATTACAAGCTGATAAGTATGGAAAACACAAATGAGCTTAGGCTAAGTTTCATAATCCACACTTGTATGTAGGAACATTTGTATAATGTATG